GTGAAAACCAATCAAGTTTCTAACAACTATTGAGCGACCCGTCGTATACCTGCCCTTCTACAAAAACCTTTAGAGATTAGCGCAGCGTTTTCTATTGTAATAGTTACCCCGATTCACATGCAAATCCGTGATAAAACGTGCGGAAATATAATTAGTTAGACGAAGGGTCGTACACCTTAGCAAAAACCGGTATAACTCTGGTTTTTAATTAATGTTTTGGTTCTGTTATAACTTTTGACCAGTGTCCTGCAGGAGCTATCCTGGTACCTGTTTGGTTAAGGGTTGACCATGGCTAGTTTTGGGTTTTCGCGCTCCGTGGGAAAGCAGGCGTGGTGATCATATCTTAATGTCTGGCGGTAAGGCTCTGTTTTTCCGAGAAAGACCCCATTATACTTGAAACTCGTCGTAAGACATGTCACAGTTATTATGCTCAGTAGAAACGATAATATCTTTCGGCTATGACACACACAAAGTGGGTACGTATGGAGTTATTCTCGGCACTGTAACGCGTTCCTGTGATGCTTGACACGATTACTTTGCATCAATCTGTGGGTAAAACCGTGTGCTTTATTTCTTAGTGCCGTTGTACCTTGATTGTTATTATTCAATGATGGTCACTTTATCCAGACCATTCATTTGTTTGTCATTTGAATTATCTCTAATAACATGGATTTTTGCGATGTTTATCTCTAATTTTCTACCTTATACCCTAATGTCTAACTATTAACTCTCCCAAGCTAATATTGCCTACCTTAAGTTGACATTTAATGACATCAAGTTTTGCAGAAGCAAAACTTGTGCAAACAAAATTTCGCAAAAACGTTGACAGTTCTCACGGTTTTGCTGTTTGCTAAACTAGGACTGGACTAATGCAAACAAACCCTTACGGTCAGTTGGTCACCAGCTGAGGTCACACCCTAAAGAACTTATAGGTCTTCGTGACCCGTAGGCGTGTTGGGGCTTAAGAAACAAATATTGAAACGATTTGCCCCTTTTGAATTGAAGCATGGGAAAGGAAAAGATGATGCTTTTGACATTTGCACAATGCCCATTGTACATGGTCAGCGGTATTTTGTGCATGGTTTCATTTATGAAGGTATATGATGTGATAGCTAAGATAATCTGTGGTCATGTGAGTGGCTGACTAATAAATTGTTTAGTGAAAGTGAAATACATACTGCAGATTTCTTTCTTGGTTCTTCTAAGTGGTAGTTGCTAAGGTAATTACTTACTATAACAATGAGATGTGTAGTAATGTGTAATATGCGCGCTAAAGCTTATTTACAGTTCAATTAGTAATTTTTGTTTATCTTCATAAGTCTTTATACTATTTATTGAATTATCATCATCAGCCTATCGCAGTCCACTGCTGTATATAAGCCTCTTTTAGTTTTAATTATTTGTTAAATAATTTTGAAAATTTAATTGAAAAAATATTAGTCATTTACCTGGATTTCTTTTTCGTACACATTAATACTTTCTGTCATTTAATTCGTTGTGCAGATATTTTTACTATAAATGCAGTAAATTTGCAAACTCACAGAATGATTAGTTAATGGTTAGGTTATATCTAAATTTCATCTTAGATTTGAGAGATATTATTTTATTTCTCACCACCGAAAAAGTTACATTCGAATTTATTTTAGGGGTTCGATACCCGAAATCTTTCTAAACGGATAACCTAACACAAAAACTTATTAAGATATTGCACACAATGCTGGTGTGATTGATGGGCCATCACCAGGAACAAAGGGTGCCCCCTCCATTGTTCACCGGACAGACCCAACGTGCTGAACACGTATTATGCACTTTTAATAAACCGGTACTGTAATGTGGTTAATTAATCAATACTTTCATTCTCATTGTTTTGGATTTGCATATCCATAGACAACGGTTACGACATAACATGTTTCTTTTTTTGTAAAAACTCAGTAATGTGCACAGAGTTCCATGGTATATAATTATGTTAACGGGAATTAATGCTATCATTTAATAGGTATTACACATATTATTTGAATCGTTGACCAAGTTCCATTGGCCGTGCTTACAGGCTGATATCAGCCTGTTTTTTATTAACAGTAACAGGTATTTATTACGTATAATATGATTAGGTTAATTTCAGTTAACATAATTACCATACTAAAATGTGAGCTCTAACAAAAACTATACTAAACATGTAAAAATTGCAAGCAACAAAAAAACAAATTGTTTCTCTATATGATAGTAACAATAAAAACAGCAAACGTAAACATAGTTAATACAAAATAAAAAGTTGAAAGACCTGACCTGAACTGACCACTTACAGAAAATAAACCTCAAGAAACATATCTGTTACATCAAGATATAATTTAAAAGATTGCAACACTATTCCAAATGGACCCATTCAAAGTTAAAACGGTTTACAAAACATCTACCAACTGTGAAACAATATCATAAAAAACACAAAGGAGGATGTGTTTAATCTCACTATCTACCAGTTTGATATCTAAGACGATTACAAAGCGACAAAGGGCACACTTACTTCGTCTATCAACAGTTAATCTCGGTAAAAAGGAGACTGTATTCGCACCTTTCCTTTGTCTGACGACAAACAAATCGTTTGTTGAACAAAATATGACGGGGTCGAGAGATTCCTAATGCGTGCTCAAGGGTTGAATGAGAGCAGCGGGTTACCGTGTCCTTTCCGGTATGATCTGGCCCGGTATTATCAAAGGGAGCGACCCTAATGATGCAAAGGTGGAACTCATAAAAAGTTTTGTAGGATTCGCAGATACACACGGTGCTAATGAAGATGGTGATGTATAAAATGGTACAAACTTTTTGGTTGATTTTAATGAAACACTATAATTAACCTTAAAAAGGCTGGAAACGGCTGGAATAGTTTGCAAAGATATATGTAATAGGGACAAAAAATGTAATGTAAGAGGTCATTAAACGGGTGTCGTTTGGACAAGAACCAGCTTAATAAGCACCCAGCGGGAGTTCCGCCCGCGTTATGAACTCTTCAACCTCGGTGCCCTCCGTCAGGAGTGTTTCCTTTATGACACATGGAAATTACATCGACGCGTGTTATCATTTAAATGGTGCACCTGTACCATTTTACTTAACCGCGAAGTCCAAGTGTTGGACCTTTGAAATGAACGATTACGACTACACGCTGTGTTTTATTTACCTGTTCTTATTTTTTTTATTAATTTTGGTATCGATTGTGATATTTTAATAACTGTTAAAGTTGTCAAATTAGTATAAACTTATTTTGTTTTAAGGTTTTCGTGTTTGTACTCAAATACCATTTTGTAACATTTTCACATTGTTGTCTTCAATGGGCCATTTATTAATGACAATGTTGTCACAGATCATAAAGCTGACAGCTTGCCAAGGTTCTTTCTTTTCACGAAACCTTGACCGTACAGAGATAAAAACTAACACATGCAAATAACTAATCATTTGTGGAAAAAAAAGTCTCAAGAATCATTAGGTTTGTTTTAGTTTTCAAACTATTATCACACACTTGAAATTGCGGAGGTCATACACATTCCTGGACTAAATCAATCATGCAGCTGTCTTTAAAACAATAACTGGGCATATTAATTCCATCGTAATAATAACCTATTACGGCCCATAACTTTATATTAACATTGATCGTCAACAGTTACTTAGAGTTATGCCCTTGGGCAGTCTCCGCACTAATGACTTAGCAAGATTAATGATTTCACTAATTACACTTGTGACAATCAATGTATCTTTAAAGTGAGCTTTTTGTGCTTAGAAGAATATCTAGTATTATTGATGAATTATGTAATTTAGGTGTCGTAAAAGCCGACCAAGGGCAAGCATTGCAGGACAACAGCACTGCAAAAAGAAGGAAAACTTTAAACAAACAAACAAAGTAGGCCAAAACCTCCTTTCTTAGGAGAGGCATATGTCCAGCAGTGGACTATTAAAGGCTGTTGATGATGATGTAATTAACAAGTAGCAGTCAATAAATTTGCTTTAATTGTAACAATATGATCACGTTCTATTTGAACTGTCTTGGTCGCAATCAGATATTCATTACAGATTCCAATTGTAAGATATTTACTAGACTTGCAACGAATATTCGGTTACTATTCGGTATTCGGCCTATTCGGCTGCTTTTATTATATTCGGCCGAATACCGAATATCTACATATTATTCGGTTGAATACCGAATACTTAAATAATATACTTTGTCATTGAGAAATAATTGGTAAAATGAAAAATTTAAATCGATTGATTACGTATATATTCATATTTTCATTTCTGTTATAATCATTTAAGTAGTCATTGGTGCATAACACAGGTACATAATCATCTTCTGAATTGAAAAAATGGAGGATTATATGTATTTGAATTATTGTGGTAATCAAAATTTAGAAGGGTAAGGTTCTCATTTCTTTTATAATCATTTATTAAGTAGTCATTGGTACATAAAACAGGTACATAATTTAATTCACGTCTGTACAAGTTTTTGGCGCTAAAATCCAGCCGAATACTTTTGCCTAATATTCGGCTATTCGGTCAGGGGCCTCGCCGAATATTCGGTATTCGGTATACTGCCGAATATACTATTCGTTGCAAGTCTAATATTTACACGATTAAGTACTTAAATTAACGCAAAAATAAATGTACTCTACAAATAACTAACTAATAATAAACATAATGGCTACTGACGATTGCAGAAAGGAAAGAAAACAAAAGTAAATGTCAATTAAAAGTAAAGGAAATAAAATTGCGATTTTAAAGTACATATCTTATCTCTTAATACTTACATACTGACAAAAGTACCGGCGAACAAAAGAAAAGTTTTAGTTTAAAACGCGTATGAAATGTCTCAATAAAGGCATGGATGTTAGTTGCATCTACGTTGCCAATTCTGTTAGTATGTGCATCCCAAATAATTTCAAACCCTGGTCTTTAAATATAAATTTCGTATTCCCAATAATTGCATTTGTATGTTTCTTTTAACATATTCTACTCACCTTCTCTCCTCATGCCCATTTTGAGACATTTTCTGAGTCTGCAGTACTGGCATTGATTCCTATGATGCTGGTCGATGGGACAGTTCCTGGTCCCTCTGCATGAGTACGTCAGATTCCTCCTCACGGACCTCTTGAAAAAGGATTTGCAACCTGTCGGAGAGATTTCACATTTATAGTTTCGCTTGAATCATCTTTATCTTTATTTACATTTATTTTAAGGAGTATTTTATTAATATTCACATTTTACTCAATAAATTTGGATTAAACAACAAAACGTCAAAATTCGGTAGAATGACCATTTATTATCATGAGCATATAATATATATATTCGTCTGTCAACAAGTCTTCCCATTTTTGGAAACGTCTGTAAGCAAAAAGCTCGCCCAATATTTTATAAAATTTTATTACAGTCGGTAGTAATTACATGTTAGCCTATTTTGTCAATATACGTTAAGCTATTAACATATATCAATAGGTACGACATATCGAAATGCGACTATTTGTATGGAAGCGTCAAATATATACGAATTTATAAAACAGTTAAAATACCAATTTAACGATCTAAAGACAGTTAACACCAATCTCATGAATACATTATGCGTAAATATTAGAATAAGAAACAATTTGCTTAAGAAGGCGTACCGTGTCGTTTTTATTCAAAACACAAAGAAATATGAAGGTATTTAAAATGCTGTAGAGTCGAAATTTGTTTGACTTCATACATACCGATACGAAAGTGTAGTTTGCCACTTAGGATAGGAAGTCGAATTTTCTATAAAAATATATGAGCGCTGAATCGCAGTAAATTATTGGAAAATATCTTAAATGTCATGGAATCGTAATATTTAAAATTGTAGCAGTCTACTAATCTATTAGTTTTAGCGACTACGAGCATATGCGTCTGAATTGTAAGCTCGAAACCTTCGTTAGCAGTCGACGGCGTATACAATAAAGTTATAAATGTATGTTATTTTTAAGTAATTCAGAGTAGTAGACATATTTTCTAGCTATTTAAGAAGTCAGAAGTCAAAACATTTTGATCGTGTTATTGAGCAAGTTTGTTGAGAATTGTGCAATATTTAAATCTCATTTAAATATTAAACGCATTCTCTGTTTACCTGCAATTGTTAACAAATAATAGCATTCATGGGCCGCCTGTTAACGAATAAATTTATAATCCAAGTGAACTGAACAAAAACTTCAATCAAAATATTTTATGGATAATTAAATTAAATTCTTATAGTATTCATGTCAAACTACTTAAAATATGTCCATTGATATTGTAATTTTGTTGATACTTTCATACGGTGAATAGTACAAAGCTCGAGCGGGGCTGTGGTTAATTCTAGGTTGGTTTACTTCAATGTTTATTAATAATATATAATTTCTGGAGTCTATACGCATTTGCACATAAACTATTTTTATAATAATAATAATTTTGTAAGTTTACCTATCTTTCTTTCCTGGCTATTCATTACCCAGGAAAGAAAGATTGGTAGGAGGAGGAGCTGGATGTGAGAAGCGTAAAGTCGATCGAAATTGCGTGCAATGGGAGAGGCCTATGTCCAGCAATGGACTGCGATAGGCTGTTGACGAGGATGATGATGAATTCATTCGCAGCAGTAGAAAAGGAAAACTAAAAATCTTAACTCTCAAAGAGTTTAAAGAGTTTTTTATTTTATATTGCTTCCTTTTACTATATAAATTATTTGAGAGTTGTCTTACTGAACCACAGATAAAAAATTGAAGGGTTTAAATATTTTCTGTGGTTTAAACATCCTTTACTGTCGCAATTTTAGAGACAGCCACAACTCTTGAAAAGATCTTGTCAACATACTAAAATTATGTACTTATATCGTTTGATCGCCAGCCATGATCACCTGCAACGTGTACAAAGGGCGACCTTATCGCAAAGAGCAAACACTTCCAGGCAAACCTTAGGATGAACTGGAATTAGATGTAGGTAGGTAAGTCAAGTCATCATGGGAAGCCGTGCTCTTATTGAAGACGATATGTTAACAAACCTTTCAACAAGTGACATTTGACCTAAAACTTCACGATAGAATCTCGATTACACGACTAAATGTATTGTGACTACCGACCTGTTCAAGCAATAAAAGATCTTATTTCATTTAAATTGTAAGAATTAGTGCATCAAATTTCATTATTGCCAAGGAGGGACATTAGCATCGATGATGGTAAGCCGTTACACGCAGACAAAAATGTTCTGAAAATCATTTATACTCGTAGTAATAGTGTTTTGTCAGCCCCATAAATATAATATAAATATTTTAGTATAAATCAAATATTCCATAGTAACTTACAAACAAAATTTATAAAATTAATGTTACTATGGAATATTTGATTTATACATTATTATATTATATTTGATTTATACATTATTATATAGTAATATTATTTAAAACTTTTAACTTTTATTTCGTAATGTCGTTGTTGATGTGTTTGTCTTTTTCATATGATTTCTTACGTTTTTTCAATATTTAAGATTTTTATGCATATCTTATGCATAAAAATGCATATATTTGAAATAAACTTAACAGAATAGTTTCGACCAAAGTTATTGTGTGTTAATTTTATTTTTCCGAATTGATTTTGCTTACTTGACTTTATTTGACATTGGTTATATTTACTGAAAATATTTTAGATATTTTACTATTTTTGTTCATTTATATTTACCCCCTTCCAACAATTGGAGGAGAGAGGAGGGGCGTTCACACCTCCGGTCACTTTACCCGCTTAGTGAAAAGCAATGAAAAATTGTTTAACAAACGTTTTCTGTGAGGGCGTGGTATGTATCCAGTCGAGCAGACCCATTTGTGCAGAAAGAAGCATGGCTGTCCCAATATTATAACAGGGATATAATCATCATCATCAACAGCCTATAATAGTCCACTGCTGGACATAGGCTTCTCCTTAGAAATAATGTATGTTTGTATTCTCCTTCGTAGATATTTATAAATAAATAAATAAGTATTCATACATTATTTTTAAATATTATTATATTGACGGAGATGTGGAGTTATCAGAATGTAGCGCACCAAAGATAAGCAAACAATAGGATTTAAACAATATACCTACTTATCAAATATGTATAGGTTATCGGCTCCTTGGTGTTTTGTATTACACCATCCATTTATTCATATACAACTATATATTATTGCTTCGTTTCTAGTGCAGCAAACGTCTGAGTGTATATAGGATCGGCTAAATCCGAACGTCAGGTTTAAACTCAGGTTAGAAAAAACTGTCACAAGAAATATTTGGAAAGAAAATCTCGCTTTTGGAAAATAAAGTTTCGCTAAGGTATCAACTTATCTCTGGTATGACAAGAGTGTAGAAAACTCTTAAATAAACACACACATATTAGATGTACAAGTCATTTTTGTATAAAAAAAAGAAAAAAGAGATCCCTACTTGAAACAAGAAGTATACTCAACACAAAATTGATTAGATTCCTATGTTTACGATAAATAATTTCGCGTAAATCAGGAAATGGAATCTGTTTAATACAACATCAATTATCTTTCATTTTCAATTTAATGTCTTTAATTTATTTAATATCTTCAAATCAACGTAAAAAGTAAATAATTTGACAATAGTTAGAGGTATTTAAAAAGCACCTATGTAGTGATTTTGATGTTTAAAAACATATACTGATTTGACTTGACAGCCATCTACTGCATTAATGATAAAATCCTAAGAAAACTAACTAAGATTACGGCCGTAACGAATGAATTACACAAATGAAATGGACTGGAAATTCAATTCATTAATATATTTTAAATAATTTAAAAAGAAGTACCTTAGCAATGGGAGCCTAGATATAAAATGGGAATTAAAAGTAGACAGTATTAGATGGGCATCCGAGGAAAATGAACGCGGCAGTAAGAAATGAGAGGGCAGACAAGCAGACGGGTCGCCTAATGGAAAGTGACTATTGCCGCTCATGAACGTCTGCAACTCGGGATTCATAGACGGGTTATAGGTTATTATTATTATTCTTAACGTAAGAGTATTTAATTTATAGCTCTTGATGATAAACACGTCACTCCACTATAAAAATGGTGAAAAAGAACACTTTCTGTTCTAACTTAGTAACAAATCTATGTTCTGCCGTAAAGGCCTTCCAATTTAATTTCAACGAAGTCAGTAAATCGATACGAAACGAATACAAAATCGATTTTAAACGTAAATATTCAGCGTTTTAAAAGCATAACCGTTTGAGTGAAAATTCCGCATCGTTTCGGTAACAAAGTTTCGCGATTCTGTCCTAGTGGATACCGTTAGTGGGTTCGCTCACGTAGTTGGTGAGATAAGAGAGTCTGCGGGCTCCGTGAAGCCGCGTACGTGCGCCTCCGCCGCCCGCTTAGACGCTAGTTAGACTAAAATGTATATTTTGAAAGATGTTCTAAAAAAGTTAAAATTATTTTTTAAAGCTCTTCGTTTGTTTTTCTTTGGGCGGAATAATAAAAGGTTTTTTATGGCTTTGACGTTAGTGTTGATACTATAGTAGGTGTCAAATATGGGCACGAATAAGTTTGCGTCAGCGAATGTTTGACTATTTACCTAAAGTTGCAAAAGATTTTTATTCATTTTAAGCTTGTCACCATTCTATATAAAAAACTGACTCGCCTTTGAATTAATAATTATGTATTTAACACTCAGGGCAGTTCTTTTAAAGTCTATGGAGGAGACAAAGGTCTCTGAATAATTAAAAATACAGTCAAATTATACAAAACCAACTTGTAGGTCAACAAGTGCAATGACACTTAAACGTCATATGACTCGTTTATTTAATTACAAGCCCAAATTTTCACTACAAATAACCTGTCAAAAACTTCCAAATGTTTTTGGGAGTTTTTGACATTGTATTATACTTTACGTGTTCCTAAAGTAAAGTAAAATAATAAAAAGATTAATCGAAATTTAATAAACAAAACAAATCAAACCTACTCTTCAAAAAAATCAAGTGAAATCTTTCATTTAAAACTCATCCGTTGTAGAATACAATTTATTGTGGTTTCAGTAGTCGCGTTCGAGCGCACATATCGCTTCATACATCCCAGCTTCCCAATTACCCCTATCGTTGGGAACATCGCCGTTTGCAAAGTAAATTGTATTCCAAGCCT